GCAAACCTCATTGCAAAACGAGCACAAGGACTGAGTTGAAAGTAGTACCGATTTATAATATTTTCATAATAATTGTCGGTGCGACTATTTAATTCAATTAAACCATTTTGTGCAATGATTTTCGATTTCGGTTTCAAATGTTATCCCATACGCGCCGATATTGCTCAAATGCTGCATTCGAATGGAACGTTTTCGCGCTTTGGCAAGGTCTTCGTTAAAAATTCATATCTTTTAACCCAGACAGAGCAGCGACTTGAAATTTGCACAGTCCCTAGAAGATACACGGTTCTCAGAATTTTGCGTTTTTTATTCAATTCGCTGTTCAGCCTGATTTTTCGGATCGGTTCAAATATTGGTCCAAAAATTAAGGTTTTAACGCAACTGCACGCTCTTTTATAAAAATTCCTAACTTTCAATGAAACAGCTAACAACTTGAAATTTACGGAGTCTATAGGATTTACATGAGTCTCCAAATCTGGCAAAACTAATTTAATTTGTAATAAAAGCTGAGTTTTTTGCCTTTTGCGAATGTTGGTCCAAAAATGAAATTTATAACTTCGAATCTGGAACAGGTATTGACTTGAAATTTAAGTAGTCTCTAGAAGACACATGAATCTCAAACTCTGGCGAATTTCATTTTATTTGCAAAAAATCCCAATGTCATTAAATTTGCAACAAATCCTGATTTTTTCGCCCTTTTTAAATATTGGTCCAAAAATAAACGCTTTTACGAAACTGCACGCTCACCAATAAAAATTTTTAACTTCCAATCTGGAACAGGTATTGACTTAAAATTATCGTAGTCTCTAGAAGACACATGAATATAAAACTCTGCCGAATTTTATTTCATTTGCAAAAAATCCTGATTTTTTCGCCCTTTGTAAATATCGTTCGAAAAATGAACGCTTTTACGCAACTGCTCGTCAATAAAAATTTCTAACTTCCAATCTGGAACAGGTATTGACTTGAAATTTACGTAGTCTCTAGAAGACGCATGAATCTCAAACTCCGGCGAATTTCATTTTATTTGCAAAAAATCCCTTGAAAATTKTTGACCCTTTGCATATGTTGGTCTAAAAATGAAGCTTYTACGCAACTGCACGCTCGCCAATMAAAATTCCCCACTTCCAATCCAGAACAAGTAGCAACTTGAAATTTCYACAGTCCGTAGACGACACTCGAATACAAAAAGCCTGAGAATTTCATTCACAGCGGGTAATTTTTGCGAGATTTATGAAAAATTAAAAAAATGATTTATTAGTACCCCCCAAAAAACTGCTAATTTATTGTGTAGCCGAATGAATMYAAGTCCTGCAGATGCTATTATCATTAAGCCTGTCTAAATAGCCAATGTTGGTTTATTTTTAAATCGATTTCACTTTGTCGACAGAGAAAGTTCGCTCTTGACATTGAACTCTACCTTGATTTCAAAGTGGTTTATTTTCGGTTTTCAGACTAATCAAACCGTTTGTTTTTGTTGTGCGGATATTTTCAGATGAGGAATTCGAAAAAGTCCAACTGATTGCTATTTATAAGCGGGCGGGGATTATTTTTGGTACAAGTTCAACGGTACGTAGCTTAGCTGGCTAATGGAGCTCAAGAATGCCAATTAACAACAGGATCTCACCAGTATTATTCAGCTTATTCCTTTCCGTCCATTTTTCGATCAGACCCTGAACCAAAACGTTCACCCTGAACTGTTCTTCTTCCACATCTTGGGAACATTTCCTGCATTTCTCCGGCATTTTATCCAGACATGACATGCATAGAGTGTGGCCGCACTTAACAGTCACAGGTTGTCTCAAAATGTTACCGCACACAATGCACAGGAATAAGTTCAATTCTTTGTTGCTGATGGCACTTAGAATAGTCGTCTGGACACTATTCACTCGCTTCTTGGTACTTTCTGGAATTTTTTTCAATTGGCGCCCACAGTCCATCATGGTATTGTCCTTTTTGGTTGGATGGTCCATGGTGCAGATCCTGCAAGGACAAGAGGTTCTTTTTAGAGCTAGAATTGCTGAGCAGAGAAAATTCTTGTCTTACGCTACGTAAAAATTCGTATCTTCTCTTCTACAGCAGGTAGCAACTTGAAATTTTGACAATCTCTAGAAGACAATTGACTCTCTTGAAGACTGAGAATCCTGATAATTTTGTATCAATCGCGACAAATGCTGATTTTTGCTCGGTTTATAAATGTTGGTTTAAAGATGAGCAATTGTAGGCTCTCCAATAAAAAATCGTAACTTCGAATACGGAACAAGTAGCGACTTGAAATTTGCACAAAATACAGTAGAGGCATGAATCTCAGAATATGAAAAATTTCATTCAATTTGCGACAAATTTTGCGTTTTTGTGCCCTTTGTGAAGATTGATCCAAAAATGAACGTTTTGCGCATCTGCAGGCTCTCCAACAAAAAATCCTAACTTCCAATCTAAAAGAAGCAGCGACTTGAATCTTTCACAAAATATAGAAGACACATCAGTCTCAGAACGTGAAAAATTTCATTCAATTTGCGACAAATTTGCATATTTGTGCCCTTTGTGAAGATTGATCCAAAAATGAACGTTTACGCATCTGCAGGCTCTCCAACAAAAATTTCCAGCTTCCAATCTAACAAAAGCAGCGACTTGAAAATTTCTCAATCTTTGGAGCACGCATGGGTCTCCAAATTTTCCTAATTTTATTCAATTTGCAGAAAGTCCTAATTTTTGCGCCCTTTGTAAATGGTGGTCCAAAAATTTCAGTTTTTGCAAAAAGTCTGCAGGGAGAGTGCAATGCAGAAATGCAGACTCTCCAATAAAAATTTCTAACTTGCAATCTAGGGCAAGTAGTGACTTGAAATTAGCACGGTCTATAAAAGACACATGAATCTCATAATGTGGAAAATTCCATTCAATTTACGGCAATTTTTGAGTTTTGAGCCCTTTGTAAAGACTGATGAAAAAATGGACGTTTTTCGCATCTGCACACTCTGCAACAAAAGTTCCTAACTTCCCATCTAAAATAAGCAGCGACTTGAAATTTACACAATCTTTAGAACACGCATGGATCTACAAATTTTCCGTAATTTATTCAATTTGCAGGAAGTTCTGCTTTTTGAGCCCTCTGTAAATATTGGTTCAAAACTGAACACTTTTACGCAACTGCCCATAAACATTCTAACTTTTAATCTAGAACTGGTAGCAACTTGAAATTTACCATAGTCCATAAAAGATACATAGATTTCGTAATCTGGAAAATTTTATTTTATTCAGTTTTGCGCCCTTTGTAAAGACTGATCCAAAAATTAACGTTTTTACGCATCTGCAGACTCTCCAACAAAAATTCAGAACTTCCGATCCAGATCAAGTAGCGACTTGAAATTTCCACAAACCATAGCAAACACACTCATCAACAATATGCCTAATTTTATTCAATTCGCAGAAAATGCTGCTTTTTGAGATTTTTGTAAATGTTGGTCCAAAAATGAACGTTTTCACGCAAGCGCAGACTGTTCCATAAAATTTTCTGATTTTCGATTTAGAACAAGAAGCGAATTAAAATTTGCACAATCTATAGAAGACACATGAATCTGAAAATTTGGAGTTTCATTCAATTTGCATTAAATCCTGATTTTTAACAAATTTTGTAAACATTGATCGCAATAACGCGTTTAATGGTCGATCGTATAGCATGACAATCAACAAGTTCAATAAAGTGATTCAATTCCCAGGCGATTTAACTAGTATATTCCTTGTACAAAACACTCATTAATCATGTTACTCATCGACTATTCCAAGTGCACAAAACAGTGAGGAGAATCTTGGATTTCGCGTGAATGGGGTTAATTGCGTAAGGGCTTTGCAGGGAACGAAAATAAGGCATGTGAGGATGCAAATTGGCCTTCTACATCCTCCTATAGGTGCCCAAATCCCTTTCACTGCATTCACAGTGGATTCAAGGATCGCTTCTCGTACACAAGACGTAATGTTTACGTAATTCTAGACGGGATCAAATCGAAAATGGGAGTAAACTTACACTCACAGTGAGTTCAGCGCCAATCTAAATGCCGTTCAGGTGCACAATGAGAAAACCGTATCCAAAATCACTGTATCCACATGGAAAACTCCATTAAATAACCACTATTTACTGTATTGTTATGTAAACTATTACGTCACCGTTTGCAAGCACATGTAACACAAGACGTCGGATCGGGCGTCCGTGCTGAGCGTCGCGGCACTTGTCGAGAACTGTGGATTTGAGACGCCAATCGTGGGGGGAAAACTCGATTAAAACTCACGGTACAGACTAGTCGCTAGTGGCATCTATGATCGTTGTGAAAAACTGGCGGATAACTGTTATGAAACGCGATGATAAGTAGCGATGCCGACGCCTGCAGAATTTCACATCAACTGTGAAACTTGGATTGATTAACAAAACTGAGAAGTTTCAGTTCAATCGGTTCTATAAATATGCCTCTATCGGAATTAGATTGCGATAGAGGCGATCTAAAATCATTTTGAGCACGATTTTGATCAATCTCTGTCGGTTCGGCGCTTTGGTGGTTGACTACTTACAAATGCGCTCTTTGTGATGCAAAAAGTGGTTAAAAAACGGTGAAGCCTACACACAATATTTGAGAAAATTGCATCTTATTTGACTTTGACATGTCACAAATGATAGCACTTTATTCAGATATATGTAGCTGGGTTGCTATAGGAACAGTTTTTCATTTCACGCTCATTGTACAGGGTGTTTTCACTAGGACCCACCGCGACTGATATACTAGGACCTGACCGCGGCAAATTTTAATTAGACAAATTGCCCAGAATACCAGTCACCGAGGGCAAGCGATCTAAATTATCTTAGGTATTATAAGTAGGTAACAACTTGCTTATTTTAAATGTTTAAACGTTTCGGTACTGAGGGACACCCTGTACAGTGCGCTATGGAATCAGATGTTGTTCCTATAGCAACCCAGCTGGATACATCCAAATAAATTTGACACATCGAAGGCTATATATAATTTGTGAAACGTCAGATCCAATTAAGATGGAAATTAGCGCTATTTCCGCAAATGTTGAATGTGTTAAGTGATATCAATTGCCGGCCTTGGGGGAAAATTGTAAATTTTTGCGTTTTCAACATGGCATTTGTAAACAGTCAACCCCCCAAAACCCAGCAAACCTACAGGGACTGATCAAAATCGTGCTCAAAAAGAAAATCGCAATCTAATTCGGATTGGTAGAGTCAATCGAGCCTATTGCAAGTAAGTACCCAACAGGCATTTACGAAATCCATATTATTCGCAATATTGTATAGCGACCAGGTCGACGAATTACAGAGTTACGTTTTTGGCTTAGGTAACAACGAATTTAACGTAAGTGCACCGAATGGGCCTGTCGTAACGCCATGGCTGTTACATAACCGACTTTTATAGTTCATGGTCAAATCGAAGTATACCTTTAGTTGTGTTCTTAATTCTATTTTTGAATTGAAATGTAAAAACAGTGACGGGTTACGTCATGGTATAGTGGTGCGTGTTGCGAGAAGGCCTAGAAGCGCAATTAACGACTCTTCTTTCACAACGTTCATCAATAGACGTTAACGAAGAACATTGGGTTTTGCTGCGATCGATTCTATATTAAGCCCTTTTTCCCTTTAGGTTTAGTTTAGTTTTAATTTTCAGCTCCGCACTGTCTCTAAGCGCTTTCCTAACGTACAGGAGGCGTCGCTTGAATACCTCCCTCCAAGAGCTGTCAATTGCCAGCAGTTTCTCCTCCTTGGAGGGTTGCCTTCCAAACTTTTTCATAAACATCAGTTTCCACACGTGTTCATGGTTGCACAGCTGAAATTCTTCAACTATAGCGGCATTCCAGCAACAGCCTTTCATCCTTCCTACCTCACATATAATTTTCGAGCAGCACATCAAGCGCAGAATGTCTTCAATGCGTAGAAACCCAAGAATATGCAAAAAAAGCTTGGGGGGCAGGTTTTCCAATTTGCGCCGATTTTGCGCCAATCCCAGCACATAGTCAAAAACTGCCTCTCCGAAAATGCGCCGAATTTCATCCTGGCTGACTTTGTCATCCCGGAAGTCCTCAAGACTGCAGTGTCGCTGTTTGGGCATTGTATGGGGACCGTAACTGACTTTCCAGATGTTCAAATTGATCTTAAGCAAACATCCTTCGATCAGCATTTAGAATTCGTTTAAGCGAAAAGGTTGAATGTGGCCAACGAAATCGCCTTTAACACTTACAAACGATCCGGTTATTGTTAATCCATAATAGTCCCTACTAGGGGCGTTAGCGCGTGCATATAACTGTAAATTGCCCTCATTTGCCTTCATTGTTTTGGGTTCTTGGTCAGTTTCATTGGGTAACATGCTGGCACCCAAAAATTAAAATTTGACTTTGAAGGTTTTCACCTTCAATTGGAAGGTGTTTTTGTCATTTTTTTATACCAGACCGAATCGTTTAGTGAAATTCAGAAGTTGCTGATTTTCATAATTTTTCAAAAATTGACGTCTAATTTTATTTGCGCCACTGTATAATGTTACATGCGAGTTTCGTTACGTAGCCATGGCAACACAAACAATTACCTTCATTAATTGCAACATACTCCAGACGTAAATAATAGCGCTTCAATCTATAGGGTGTCCCTAAATAAACGCAATAAAATGGGCTTGAGATTTTTCAACTGATTAACGAAAACGAAGGAAGTGTTTGTTTAGAGTAGAGCATACGCCTGTCGTGAAGATTAAAAGTGTGATTTTGTCGGAACTTTTATATACGTTGTACCACATTTTGCCATTTTTCTCGAAAACGGTAGGTTTAACAAAACAATTCCTCGCAAATTGATAGGTGGCAATTGATTGGTAAAAAAATCTCGCAATTGATAGGCTTTTATCAGGATGGCAGCTCCAAAAAAAATTCCGGGTGCTTTTGAAGTTTTCTGTCTTTAAAGTCACGGAAGCCACAAAAGGTGACTAAATTCTCTCATAACGGCTCGGAGAAATGCTTGAACATAAGCTGCTCTTAGAGACAAACATCCTGTAAATGTGCATGTTAAACTTCGACAGCTTTCACAATTTTTTCCCCTAAATGAAACCTCAAACTCAGATTAAAATAGCTTTTATTTCGTAACTGTTAATAATGCAGGAACGACATGGCACTAATCTACAAACGGTTTACCTAAGAGATCACATAAAAAAACATTAACACAAATTTCAAAAGGAATTAAAATAGACGCCTAATTTTATTTGCGCCACTGTGTATTGTTACTAGCGAGAGCAGCGAATTTCGTAGTACAACAAGTAGTAGTCAAGGCAACAGCAAAGAGTAGCCATGGAAACACAAACAATCCCATTCATAATTGCAAGATACTCCAGACAAACCTAAATACTAGCGCTTCAATCTATAGAGTGTCTCTAAATAAAGTCACAACTAATTTTCAACTGATTAATGAAAACTATTGAGAAAGTGTTAGAGCAAGCGCCAGCCACATAATCTAGGATTTTGTAGGAACTTTTATATGCATTGTACCGCATTCTGCCTTTTTTCGTCAAAACGGTAGCTTCATCATAAAAATATCAAAACAAATAAACATCTCAATTGAATAGGCGCTCCGAAAAAAATCCCACTGAGTTTGAAGTTTTCTGTCTTTAAATCAAAGGAGCCACAATTAAAAGGTATAGAGGAATGAACATATAAACTGCGGTCAGAGACAAACACCCTGTAAATGTGCATCGACAGCTACCACAATATATTACGCTAAATGAACCCTCAAACTCAGATTAAAATAGCGTTTATTTCGTAACAATTAATAATGCAGGTACCACATGGCAGTAATCTATAAACAGTTTACCTAAGAGATAACACATATATCAAACTGAACACATTGATCTACAGGCTGAATGGCCAATAGACAGCAGTTTTATTAGACTGCTCCCTTATCACTGTCACAATTTCGGCCCTCAGCACTTTCAAAGCAATTATAGTTGTTTATTTGGAATCGGAAGTATTGTATAGTCCACTAGACTGGTGGGACGCCACTGTAACAGAAATCGGTGCCGACACTGGTGCTGTATTGGAACCCGTGCCAGGTAGAACAGGAATGGGAGCCGTGGTACTGCTCACTGTTCCCGAGCTGTTTTGCGGGTACTGCTGAACCTGGAAACCAATGAACCAGCGCTCAGACACAACTTGAGATTGTGTCGTTGCCACCCACCGTGTTGATCGAGTTCTGGTTCTGTTGGTTTTGCAAAAGCCCCAGCCGGGCCATCAACAGCTGCTCAGAAACCCTTCTGAGCTCCTGCTGCTGCTGCTCGATGATGGCTTGCAGCTCAGCTTGTTTGCGCTGCAAATTCACTTGGAGCTGGTTTGGTGCCGGGGTAATTACCACATTCTCCACCTAAGTTGATGTGTGATTATTGGAAGAATTGGAGAAGGCCGGACGAAGTTTACCGATAAAGGAGACAGTAGAACCGGCTGTGGCTGATAACTGGTTGCGACTGGTTGCAAAGCCGCAAATTGGGAAGGGTCCAGATACTGAGTCTGGTTCTGAAGCTGAGCGGCGGCTAGATGGAGAGGCTGCGCCTGCCGGGGAATGTCTTCCGGCTGATGAGGCGAAGAGAGCATTGAGCCAACCGCCTTCGGACTCGCTCCGGCCTTCTAAACCATCAACAGGTTTAGGCTTAGAAGCAGGTTTTCTGAGTGTGCTCAACTTACCGCCGATTTTTCCATTATGGCCGATTGTCTGGAAGCAGGAGAATCCGCTGACATAGACGTGCACTTCGAGTCCGGGCCCTTGGAGCTGTCGCCGCCTCTCCAAGCACTGGAAGAAGAGTCCTGCGCCTCCTCACTAGGAGACGGCATGCCCTGACTGCGTCGACTCTGCTTGATCACATCCAGGTAACTGCAAAGCAAGGTTTCGAAAACTGGCGTTCGTTCCCGCATCAGCGGTGGTACCTGACGACTCGATGGGTGCAAACCACGAACTCCGGCTTGGAGTTCCATTGGTGGTAGGTGATGTAGAAGCGGGTTTGCAGCCAGATCCATTGCTGGCCCTTAGTGAGGAAGCGGTAGTAGCAAGAGGTGCCCTCTCCCTTTTGCATTAGGGACTCATGGCAGTTTATCACGCTGTCTAGGTCGTCGACGTGATAGTACTCGTATCCAGAGGTCCCGAGAAGCTCAAAGGGCAGATAACTGAAGACGAGGTTTTAGTGAAAGGATCTTAACAAAGGAGGGGCGTGGTTACCCGATTATGGGCGGTGCCCGATGGTCCAAAAATAGGAATTTCCACTCCAGACTGTGCCTGGAAGTGAACTCCGTCCGGCTGGAGTCCACTAGAGGAATTTCCTTGATGAGTAGAGGAGTTTGCAGCTTCCCAGTGCCAACAAATAGCATTCTGCTGGCAAATTGAGTGAAGTGTGATGATTGGTTCAATTGATTCGTACTCTTACCCATTATCCAGGTTACTTGCAACGGTTTCTTGTACGACATCTTCATCTGATCCTATCAGGGAAATTGCGCACAGATCAGCAAGCATGCCAAGTAGTGTTTATGGAAAAGGACTTACTGAAATAGCCGACAAAGTTCACTAGTTCGCAGTGGGTTCTGTCGGCGTCCGGTCCAGCTCGCTTCAAATGACAGGAAAAGGAAACGGGATTTTCATCGTCAGCGGAATTGGACAAAATACCGTAGAGCCCATTCTGGTCCTCTTCGCACACCACATCCAGGATGGACATCTTCAGAATATCCTTCTGGAATTCGAAGGGAAAGTGAAGAGTCGGTGTCGCCTCGAGTCTCAATGACACGACCATACAATTATGCAACCTTCAAGCATGTGGAACGCACACCTTTTAACGGTTTATTTTATGCAGTTTTATGCCGTATCCTTTAATCGCCCATGATACAGGTTGTGAAGAAGCGTGCAATGCGTGCTTGGTGGAGGTTTCTTCGAAAATTAATTCACCGAAAAGCGGGCCAGATTTCACTTTAAAACTCTAGAAAGTTCTGGAAAACATTGGTAGCTGTTGAAGCGAGTCTTGCTGGCGCCCTAACGCCTGCCTTAGTCGCGCAGGAATTTTTTCAAAAATTCATTGTGCAATAGCTAGGCTAAGTCGAGCAGTGCTTCGTTTTCTATGCTCTGGGAGTGTAACTTTTCCAAGAAATCTGGCGAATATTGGCAGCCTTCTGATGCAACACTTGACACGCAAACCATTACATTTTTCAGCTACGCAAATGTTTCTCAAAACTTAATTTTGCGAAAGCTGGAGTTGACCGAAAAGCGCTTGCCAAGCTTTATTTTTTGGAAAAAATCTGGGGACAATCGGTGTGTGTGAAGCAACTTTGGTATGAGTTCCAACTCCTTTTTCAGTTGTGTAAGTTGCTTTTCAAAACGTAATTTTGCGCAAAGTACGCTAAATCGAAAAGCGCTAGCAACTCCTTTGAGTAGGCAAATCTTCATAGTTAGTACGTTGAAAATTTGAGTTTTCCAGAAAAATTTGGGAACCATTTTCATCATTTTGAAGCAACATTTGTTTGGTGTAGTAAAAGTAGGTAAGATTGAAAGATGCTTGCAACTTCATTTAAAAGGCACAACTTCACTCTAAAACTCTGAATATCAAAATCTGTACTGAATTACTTACCGGCAAATAACCCAATAAGGAGGTGATGCTTTCGGAAGAGTAGTGAATTTGCCCAGAGGTGGAGAAAACGATGATAAAGCCATCCGCAGCTTCGAGTACCAAATGGGTGAATTCTTCGTTGGTCAAAAAGGTCGGTTTCCAGTCCTCCTGGATTTCGTTGATTCGGGATCGGGCGGCAATTTCTTCAGTGTAAAACACTTGTTCTTAACTCATTCGTTTGATTGAGTCACTGACTTACCGTTGTGGTTCTTCAAGAAAGAAATCGTTGACTTCAGCACGGTGGATTTATCCATTTTCCGGCTACTGGTCGACACCATGGAGCTCAGTTCGTTCACCAGAAGGTTGAACTGATCGCGGCGCTTTTTTTCGCTTAGATTCCGGGATTTTCTTCATAAAAGGCACGATTAATTAAAGTTCGGATTTTTATTGGGGTTTTACCTTTTGGAGTCTTTGTCGTCCGAGTCATCGTCCATAATATCACTAGAACAATAGACTACCATCATTACCCAGCCACTGATAATTATTGCCTAAATATTTAAGGAGAGTGTTTCATGGCTTTTGAGCGCACACTGTATGTATGAGAAAGAGTTCGCTGACGGAATCCAATTACTTAGAAGAAGTAAATCTGCGGCTAACGGTAAACAACGGGTTGTTGTCATGTTTTACCTTGAAAGCCAAAGTTTAAGTACCTGAATGTTATTGAATAATGCAAGCAGTGGCACTCGTTTGATAATAATTAAATAATAAATTAATAATCAGTTGAACAGTTATGGGAACAGTAATACCAAGCGGCGTTTTTTTGCATACAATTTTTTCATTTTCCCTGGTACTGTTATATACAGGGTCAAATCAAGAGGCCATTTTTTGATTTTCGGAAAAACTTACTCAGATCGTCGTTCGCAGTGGTGCTTCTTATAAATCGGCATGTTGGGTTTCATCGTATTTTGGCTTCAGTTTGTGTTTCCACCACATGTAGGACTCAAATTGGGGATACATATTAATGAGCAGCGCTGCCCAAAAGCCCCCTGTTCCGCACAGATTTCCGCATTACATTATAACGCGGAAATGACGCGATTTTCTCACTAACGCAAATGGATGCGATTTTCTTTTAAAGTCCCGTGCTCTGTGCTTAGAGAAGCCTGAAAAATGACCAATTAGTGACGCCAGTAAAAGCGCAGATGGTTTCACTTTTCTATTTCCCTACACTTGGGTTGATTTGATGGAACAATGGCTCGCCTCGCACAAACGCGCACAATTCACTTGTTCAACTATCCGGAAAAATCGCACATGCTTTGTCTACTGCTATTATAAGCTCTTGTTTGGATTTTTTTGGACTTTGGGCAATTAGTAGCGGCCGATTCAAAGGCGAACTGTTGCTAGTAAAAGTGTTGCTTCCATGTAGCGGCCAAGAGCAGGGGAATATTGTGAAAACCTGCCCGATTTACCGTAACCGTTCAAAATTTTCGTTACTGAAAAACTAGGTTTTCCAACACTTTCGAGAAAACAACAAAAATGTTTTGCAACCGCAGTAAAAACGATGCGCGATTAACTCAAACAAGCCCCTGGCCACTGAAACATAGCTGCAATAAATGCACGCTTGCCTGTAATAAGAACGGAAAAATTTTCTCTTAAAGGCCACTAAATAGCCGCCGATCAAATAACCCCAGCTTCCACTGGCGCGACATTGAAATAGCGCGCGCGCCCGCTATTTGCGACTTTATCAGCACATAATCAATCATTTCGTAATAGATCTGCCCCGATCAATGAAAGGAATAGCAAAGTCGGCCTCTGAGGGGAGGAAATTGAGTGGGCAAATTCGCTTTGGGAGAGCGATTAATATGCACAGGAAATAGCAGGGAATTCACGTCCGTCATTAGAGACGGAAATGAAATTGTTTCAGCCGGACTGGGACATTTTTCAAGTTTTAAAACACGTTGAAAGAGCCAACACAAAGCGGGACTATCACAATTAATAATCTATCACTTCTTCTTCATTTTGGCCATTTTTCAAAACCCTGTCTCTAACTAAACACCTACCATTGTTCATTCAACTAAGCTCTGGAACTTTACTTTTCAAGTCACGCAATGATGGAATCCTGATTCTTAATAGCGCCTTAACATCAAACGCCCTTTTACATTAATATTCGTTTAATAAAAAAATCAGCCCTTAAAACATACAAACATAAAATAGCAATTTTACAATTCAACCCCCAAGAAGGTTCACAAAAACTAGCCCTCAGAAACGGACAAGGTCAGCGCAGTCACAATGGGGTCCAACTGGGTCTCCAACGCCAAAATCTGGCCGGTGTTGCACTTCTGATTGGCCACACAGGTGATGATTAAGGGCAATTTGTTCATTTGCACCACCTGGTACTGCGAGTACATGCAAATCATAGTGTTCGTTTTGCCCAGGCCCAATTTGCTACCCTGATCGATCGCTATGCAAAACGTGGATATGAAGCTGGGTTTCACTGCCGGCTCCGGGGCTTTATCGGTGTGCACCTAGCAGGAGAGGGTTGATTAGTGCCCAAAGGGGTTGGCCCATGTTTACCTTGAGCAGAGGCACCCCATCTCTATCCGTGAACATTATGCAGTAAAGACCGTCGATTTTGGTCAGGATTTCCTGCAAGCTGTTCTTGATCTCCTCAACCATTGCTCGCGAAATGCCTCAAAACTTTCCAAAGCCAAATAAACAAAAAACTAGGTTTGTTTATGGTAAAAAAATACTACAAATTGAGGTTAACCACAGATCATCTCTGTCATTTGTGAGGTTAATTACTGACTTTGCTTGAAGAAAAATCTGTTCTTAACCGTCAATTTCCTAGCTGATTAGTAGTTCTAACCTCACTACCATTGGTCTGACATGTTTTGATTCAGTTAAATCTATGCGTTAAATTTACAATGTTTATAATACAGGAAGACCTCCAAACTGCTGATAGGTTTAAGCTGGTGACCTCCGCTTTGGATCGGCTGGTTGTTATTGACGCTCAAGCCAATTCCCAATGCATTGACCTGCCAAAGCTCCCGGCTGCAGAGCAGGATGATAAAGTGGGTCAAATCAAGGTACGAGGGGCTTTTGGGGCCTAATAGGCCAATGGTCTAATGTGGGGATTTTCACTTTTCAGCCAACTGAAGCCGTAATCAACCGGATCACCTGCATGGAGTCTTCCAGAGATCAGCAGTACATAGCAGTGACCACTGAAAGCAAGCAGTTGGTGGTCTTTGGGGCCCATTTCGGCGTGGTGAAGAACCTGATTTTGGCGCGAGCGCCTAGCAAGGTGCGTAGTAGCACCTCTTTTTGGATTTTCCAGCCCCTGCTTCGGTTCTAGGTGTGCTTTACGCCAACCAACGATGTATTAGTGGCCGATAGGACTGGGGATGTTTACCTGTATAAAATAGCAGACGAAAGTAATCAGCCGCAGTTGCTACTGGGACATTTAAGTGTGATTCTGGACATGTTGGTAACAACCTGCGGCCAGTACGTGATAACTTGCGACCGAGACGAGAAGATCCGCGTGTCCCGTTATCCGAACTCGTATAACATTGCCACTTTCTGCTTGGGGCATACGGAGTTTGTTACTTCCCTGGCTTTGCTAACTAATCCCAACGTCCTCCTGTCGGCTTCGGGGGATGGGACTGTTCGGATGTGGCACTACTCGGAGGGCAAACAAGTGAGTATTGCCCGGAATTAATAGATTTGGTTTGCATTGGTTGAATGTTTCCGCAGATTAGCATAATAAACACGGCTGGTTTGGTGGATGGGCTCACTATGGAAAAGTTCGGCAGCCAAATGGATCTGGAAAAAGTGGACGTAACTGCCCTCCCAGTAACCAGCATGAAAGTGAGCGAACAAAACGGACTGGTAACTCTAGCTATTTCCTTATACAGTATTCCCAAACTGTATCTATACAGCATTAAGACGCCCAGTTTAGAACATTCGCTTAAGCATACTGTGGATTTGTATGCCAACATTGTCTCTTATTGGCTAACAAGTCGGCTCTATGTGCTCTCAGATAAGTTTGAGGTATATCAAGTTGACGCTGATACTCTTAGGGCAGTGGACGCGAAAACTACCCAAAATAGACTAGTTGAGTATAAAGCGGCCTTTGTAAGTAACGACTGCGACGTTACAGCGTGGTATAAAAGGAAGTTTGATAACGTTCAGGAATACATGGAGCGAAAAAAGCTGAGGCTGGAGTCGAAATAAAACGGGAGTTTTATTTTTTCCAGAGAGTTACTCTACACTAAAGCGCAACAAACTGAGTCCCCCGCACATCCTTTTTTCCCTATGGTTAGGCTTTGAGGGCATTTTTCTGAGCAGGTGTTATGGAGCTGGAAGCAGTTGAGCTCTTGGGCCTTCACTGTAACATTTCGATTCAGCACAGCGCGGGAAATGTTGCAAATTTACTTACCATTGGAGCAACAAACTGCTCCAAGGGATTTTTGCGCGCCGCAAAGCGACTCCCATTCTCCGCCTAGCTCTCCAGGGCACTCGTTCTTTAACAGGCAAAAGCCTTTCTTCGCAGCGCAAGGCTCTTCGCGATAAAAATTCGATTCTGCGACATTATTTATGAGAGTATGGGGAAAATTGACTTAATTGTTAAAATAACTATTAATAAAACACTTATTAGTTGCTTACCTATATCCGCAAGACAGCTATAGAATAGTAGACTAATGGCGATAATAAACCCTCTCATTTTCACAATTCTTGCGTCAATTCTGGGCTATTTTGCTGAGTTTATATATTGTATTTCGGTTTATCTGTGGCTTATGAATATTGAAATGCGATTGACTTGCAAAAGGTTACGCCTGATAATAGCAGCTGCAATTAAACTATCTTCAAATAGATAATATGATTGCTTCTTTAGAAAGTTATGAATAGTTATGATGTGAGGAAATGTCCTTAATCTAAGTTCGGCGTTAACAGGGCTATTAATATTTATGTAGCTGATTTATTATATGAGCAAACGACTATATTTACAGTTTTATTTATTTACATAACTTTGTCCTGATTGTGAGTGGTTTTTTCATGAGGGCATTTTTACAGTTAAACGTATTTTGGAATTACGTGTTTACTTGTTGAGCCTTCTATCCGACGTTGTCAAGTCAGACGATTTTTCCCTGTATTTGATCACAGGATCCTTTTGATCAGCCCTCCCCACAAACCAAAATATTATTAATGTCACTTTTGGCATTCGACTTGTCAAAGTTCTGTAAGTTAATCCAAGGGTTGTGTTTCGTGGGGTTTTAAATTGCGATTTCGTTTAAACCGAGCCCCCGTGCTTAACACGAACACTGAAAACTTTGAAAGTAAAGTTTGAGCGATAATGTGCAATAACGACGAGCAATTCCGTGCAATACACACTGTATGAAAATGTTCGTGGGGTTTTAACCTAATGGTTGAAGAATTTGAAATATGGAAGAAAAACCTGAAATATCCCCTAGTGAATCGACTGTGCCTGAATCTCCGCGGCCCACAGCATTTACGATAGACTTTGGCAATGAGAAGAAGGTGGACTTGCAAAGGCACAAATCACTGGCTGAAAAGTTCCAGCAGAGACACAAAAGGGGCAAGTCTATGTCCAAGTTGGAAGGCAGCAGTGTTGCAACGCCCACCGCCACCAAGAGACACCCCCTGACGGGGAACTTGCCCAGGAAGTCCAGTTTTCACTCAGAAGGTTCGTTGATTTGTCTTTGTTTTGCAATTGAGCACTGATTTTCCACTCATGCAATCATCAGTTGGATGTGTGGAAATTTGCTCGTTGGTTCCCGTTCTATGAAATCCGTTTCCTGCCTGTTTAGTAGCGTGTGTTTAAAAACGAACTAAAGCTAAAATAGGAGTGTCTGGTTAAGTTATTCTGAGTGCCTAGAAAATTGCTGGATCACACATTAGGATTGTCGATGATTTAGCTAGTTTTGCCAATTTCAGTGTTTGTTTGAGTAATAATTCGGTCACTGCCCACGTTAGTGTAAAGGGAGGTTTCATTGTTGGGGCGAAAATTTTCCAAAAAGCCAAGGATTTTGGTTGTTAAAAATAAACCCGCTGTTTGAAATAGCTGACCCCAATGGGATTTTAGGTCAGAGACAATTTGCAAAGCAAATTAGCCAGATTTAGCCGATTAAGTATGGTAGGTAGGTATTTTTTGGGGATTTGGAGGCCCCAACTAATAAGTTAATCATTGGCATACCAATTCGGGCTAATGTTTCAGCCATTTGTCTTAATATGCATCATTCATAAGCAACTTTCTTTGTTAATTATCAACTGTTTTGTAATCAGTTTCTTCCGCTTTCGCTGCTTCCATAATGTATTCGCTGATTTTTATCGGCAACTTCTGGCATTTCGAATAACAACCGGAAATAATGCAATTCCTCTTCATTTCTTCATTTGTTGCCATTCGGGAAATTCAGGCAAACGCCACAATATAAGGTAATGGATCAACGCTCTGTTGGTCGCTAATTTACCGTTTGGCCCAAAAGAAAATGCGAGCATGTGCTTGGAAATTGTAATTATAATCTTTATAAGTGTCTTATTAGAGCTTAGGCAACACGCACCGTAATTAACAGGATTATCGTGTGCTTCTTGCTAATGTTTTCCTGATACAAGCACCGATTAAATCTAGTTTAATTGGAAGTAATTCACGATAAATCAACCAGTCTATTAATTAGGCGTTATCTGGTCAAGGGTTTCGATCAAATGGCCAAAAAATCCAAATAATTTTCCATTTATGGTATAAAAAATTCGCTAATATTCGGGTCAGGTGCGGCATAGCCTTGAACGCGACTAAATGCTTTCGCAAAGTCCTGGCGTGACTTATGATGATTTAATCTGTATCTATGATGAAATCCTATTGTTGCACCTTTATGTTTTTCTTTAGCAGAATTTTCCATATGAAATAACTTTTTTCATTAGTGTGCTTTCAAACAGGTCTAGCCTATGTATATGGCGGCAATAATCCATATAAACAGGCTTAATTCATATCCGGCCATTCAATCGCATGCTTATTAACAACAAACAAACATTTATATGCCAACCTTTCCACTGAGGACCTGTTCAAGACACCGAATGAGTCATTGAAATGCCATGCAATCCTTAATAATAGAAAGTAGCGGTTTCAAATATTATTGATAAACATCACACGCATTTCGCTGTCGATTTTTTAAAATGTTTTCTGGTTTTTCAGATGAAAAGGTTGAACGATGTAAGAGTGCAAGCGTGAGTTCAAGACGAAGCGATCTCACGTTGCCCTTAGCCAATACCACTTCAGATCGAATGACGCACTCGTTTCCTAATGCTGTCCTATTCTCTCTAAATAGTCCAACTTCAGCTTGCGATTTGCAGAATGTGTCCAGTCCGGAGTTCGAAATGATCAGCCCCTTTAGTCCGGGCGTTGAGCAAGTGGCTCGCAACGTGAACGACATCAGCCTGTCCTCGGACGAGGCCATTAAATCGGTAATTTTTCCGCAACCGAAACATCCCATGCAGGTTTAAAGTTGATTTGATTTCAGGCCAATTTCAATATTCATGACCTGGACTGGATGGATCGACAGTCCGACACTCTAAGCGAGACTGGGACTTACACTCTGGAAGGGGAGAACTACTCAGAAGAGCAAAAGGCGCGGATGAGCATTGACAACGAGTTCAAAATAGAGAAACTGACAGTGGAAGAGAAAACCGAAGAGTACATCAAGAGCCTATCGGTTGGCCGGTTTGTTTTGGAAGAAGCAAATTCCTCAACAGTTTCCTCCCAATATAGCGGCAGTTCGTCCACAGTGTCGAGTCTCCATAGCAGTTTTTCAGCCGGCGGCGGTCTGCCGCCAGTGCCCCCTTTAAAGCCCAGCAACGAGGCAAACTTTGGCAACAGACCATTAGAGCTGCTGCTAAAGGCCCCACCGGCCGGACTCAATGAGTTTGCAACGAAAAAAGTGCTTTCCCCTATTCTGTCGCCCACGCAGAACATTTCCATTGGCGACGAAGACGCCAAGCAGAGGCTCAGCCCCAAGCACCAGCCCCTGACCAAATCCATGCCCTCGAACGCCAAAAGCCAAAAATCCGATGAGGGAGCGATTATTTCCGTCACATCAAGCGGCGCGTTCCGCGGCAAAAGCGAAAGCAAACAGGCGCTCGCACGGCGGCTGAGTTTGACCAAGTCGGAGATTCACGTGGAGGCCTACATCGATGGAAAGATGTACAATGAGGGTCCGCCCAATAACACTGGAAGTCGCCCCAATTCTGCCAGACAGAGCAAACTGACTGCCAACATTGTTAATGTGCAAAGCATCGAAGTCAATCCGCATAATTCGGGCGAATTGGGCAATGTGGTTAGTGCAAGCTTTACCTGTGGGAAAACCGGCAATGTGGCTACAGGTAAGTCGTTTTGGGTCTAATGGTGCATCCACATCTAACGAGCAGAGTTTGAGACTACATTTACAGGAATTTGGTCGTAGATCAGGCTCGACTCGGGCTCGGCTCGTTAGGTCTTAGGACGCGCCATAACACATTATTGGTGTGGAGAAATAACTTTGGCACCACATCTACACGCCCTTTGCCCAGAATAACTAGTTGCAAATTAATCCATGTTTGTTGTGAAGTTGTGCCCACCGGGCACGACACTGGTTGAAGCGTTAAAAAGCACTGTTTTTCGCTTAATTTGCTCCGTTACTGCTGTTTTTCTGAAGATGGCAATTAATATTTGCGAACTTCGCCCGGTATTGGACTGGGCGTAGCTAGCCTGCGCTAATTAATCATGATTAGAACTTACGATATTTCCCGTTTAGTTACCACCGGCCTTCCACCAACCCCAACTGGGAAATTGTCGCCATCGAAAATTCCATCTCCGATCCACACATTGGCGCGGCCCCGTAGCAGAAACAGCCTGTCGGCGCCGCCTGACGACTTCGACACCGAGATGATTTTGAAACCGACCCGAAATTACATCAATTCGCTGCAGCACAAGTTATCGCTGGATAACAGTGACCAAGACAGTGACTACGAGATGAAGTATGGGCTGCAGCTGAACAACACGGCCCATCTGTTGAAGCAGCGCGCTCTGCACATCAGGCACAATTCGCTGGATGATCGCACGATCAACAACAAGCTGGAACATTTCCAGAGCAAGAATCTGCAGCCGATCGATCAAACGTACACAAACGTGTTTGATCAATACCACAAGCAGAACAAGGTGATGAACAAGATCAACAACTCGCCTAGCAACAGCCCGATCAGAAGGTCCAGTAGCTTTTCCAATCGCAATCAGATTAACAACATCAAGAGCTCGAATGTGGCCCTGAGGAAGGACTCCAATCTGAGCGGGTCGCCGTGTTTGAGCCAGAGCGAGCGGATTCAGCGTAGCTCGTCCACCGCCTGCATTAAGCCTAACTATGCCCCCAATAGGGGCGCAGTTCTGGAGCACAAGAAAATTGATAGGTACGTCGCACTTTTCCGCTTTAATTAGTTTCTTCAGGGCGTGTGTTCGCTCAGGAATCAGTTTGGCGACACCGAGTCCAGCTCGGAAGAAGAACTGGAGCCGGTTCTTCAAAAGAAGAAGGATTTGGGCAGCTTATCCAACACGCGCTGCAACCGAACGTTCAGCCTGCGAAGAGCCCGCGTGGACAACGAAGCCAACAAACTGAAGTGCCCGAACACTCCGGATATGCGTCGCAAAACCTTCCAGCCAACGGGCGGTAAGCCTGAACGAGCAATCTCCGTCGACAGGAAGCCTGTTAGAACCAACGAGGTAACAGTGATTTCCCAATTGCAACCCCCTTGTGCCTATAAAAAATTTGGTTCCAGACACAAAGCCGATATCTGCTTAGTCTGAATAAGCGGGCCACGTCGCTTGCCAAAGAGATTCCAAAGAGCGCTTCAAAGTCTGCGGGTTCCGGCTTGAAACCAGCGCCCTCGAAAACACCGGCCTCTTTTGCGCGGTCGGAGGCCGGTCGGTTTAGCATGCGAAGCTCCACAAACGGCCCTATGAAGGGTGCGAAAAAAGACGGCAAGGGCTCTAAACAGGGCGGTGGAGCGCGGTGCAATTCATCCCTATCTAGTCGCGAGGTGGAGTTTCAGAACTGGAAGCGGCGGAAAAGCTACGACCCGATGAAAGCAGCTGCTGAGGTGAGTTCTAGTGTCTGTTCCTCGAGAGAAGCTCCAAAATTAACAACCCATCTAGGGCAAGAAGAAAGACATGGAGAAACGGGCGAGTGGACTGGCCAAGCTCGGAGCTGTCAGTCCGGATAGCTCCCCATCGCACTCCGGCTCTGTTCACCGTTCTCAGGTAATTTTTTTAAAAAGAGGATTCTTCTAATCGAGCTGAATATTGTCTTCCAACAGATTCCCCACCCGTGACGAATTTAGTGCTTAGTTAAATATTTAAAAGGTTTCCTAAAAGGTAATTCTCAGTCATTGTTCATCACGTTTTAACAATCGTCATTGTTTGCGGGTGTTTAACGTTGTTTTGCTTTGATGTTGCTTCACAGCACTTTCTTAGGTGAATTATTGCCAGAGCTTTTCAAGTACATGCATGTTTTTTCCATTGGTTTGTAGAGCTTCCATGGAACAGCCGCTTTAGAGCAGCTGATCAGCTCGGATGAGGAAGACGTCACGTTTTCAGCTGATGAGGGTTTCAGCCCCCCAACTCCAAGTCCATGCGAACTGAGCCCCACTAAGGCCCGTTTAAGGCACTCGCTTTGGGACCGAATGCGTAACTAATTCAATGGTTTTATTTGCGCTTTTACATTCGAATTTCGTGATCAAATGGAACCAAATTTGTTTGGAAAGTTTTCGGATTTTTTTCTGGTTTGGTTTGGATCAAAAAAATTTCTGAGGCGCATGTATTTAAAGCGAATCGACTTGCTTTAATTTTTGAGCGGAAAAGTAGATGCGACTTCTGTTAGGGATTGGAGAAGCATCGCGAACTTTGTCTGTTATCCATAGGCTCGTCAGCCATTTGTTTACTGTTAGGTGTTTTGTCTACTTTTCTCGCTCCTGTGATAAACATATTATTATATAGCAAATATTGGAAAGTATATGGATCTGTACTCTAAACAGTTGATTTGATTGTGCTCTTGACAATTATATTCTTTCTAATATCCGCGCACTGTTACAAATATAATTGAGATTATTCGTGGCTCTCAAATTGATAAGGCAAGTTAAGGTTTTCGACTTCTCCTATTTCCTTGTGATTATTGCTAGACGCGTAAACCGAAACTTAAGCGGGGAAAATTATACTTTTTGAATATTTATTTCGCCAATATCGGGCTCTAATTGTTTAATTGTGAGTATTAATGAAGCTGATGTGTTCCTTTAAATTATTGTTGTATTATTAATATTGTTAGGCGAAATGCGCGGAATTTTTCAACGTTTAGCTCGATCTGTTTGGAGGCGAAGTCCTCAATTTCAATTGTTGTAGTTTCTCAGTTTATTCCTGCCATATATTGATGTGGTTTTCTTCAGGCGTAACAAGTTTGAGTGTTTTAGAAAACTTTGCTCATGCGACGTGATTATACAAACATATCTTTAGCCAATTTGAACTGTTCAAGAATCCATCCCGGGTCTGGTTCAACAACGGATTTCTACATTCTTTTGCGCATTGCTCAATATATGGTTTTTCTTTTCCGTTAAAGGTCAGTTGATTTTATTGCCTCGTTATCTACTAACAGAGAGCACAGATTTCTGGTCGGTTTTCCTTAGAAAAAATTCAATCGATGAGATTGGTTCGGACTGTGCCAATTTTTCTCTTACTTTTTAACCCAAAGCATTGTGATTTTCATATTTTTCTTCGATTTTATGAGGCATTACCGTTGAACTGGGTTAGTTTGTAGCGGTTTTAAGCAGCGCTCAGTTTGATTTCCAAGTGATATCAACCGTCTATTGTGGTTTTTCGTTGACCAAATCGCAGCCCCTTCATATTTAAGTGCATTATCGAATTTACATTATTTTTTATATGTTGCTTTTGTGTCAATATAAGCGCTTTTGTATATGGATGCATCAGCCCTGGTTTTATTTTCCCATTAAAATCACTTGCATTAATATGCGAGTGAAACAAGGCCAATCGGAAAATGTACAAGTTGGAAAAAGACTTGGACTTTTTTTAATACAAAAATTGAGCAGGGAAGGGATATAGCGCGGTCTCTTTCCATTGCATGCGCTGCGATGTGTTATTGTTCGATATCATGGTCCATTACTAGTGGAGTCTGAGGCGTTTTGTCAAACTCGATTTTCATTTTCAATATGGCTGACAGGAGTGACACTTGTTGGACGGTATTTTTTTTGGTTTTGTCACAAAACTAGAAACGAAAACAATAAAATTCTGTGCGATTTGCCATAATTGCGTCGTGTTCGAATGTGAAACCAGCCAGTGCATGGGCTGAACAGTGCCTGAAACCGCTCGTTGTGTTGCAAAGTGAAAATGTGTGATACGTGAAATAATCAGCCTTTTGTACAAATTTTAGTGTGTAGAGTGTAGATGCCCAATATGAACAACAATAATTTCAATTCGAGCTCGCCCAGGCCAACTTCGTAAGTATTAGATAATTTACTATAAAAAGACTGAGCTAATTATCATTTGGATTCAAGCCTTGCCTTATTTACTCTCTCATGAGCAATTAAAGTCAGAGCAGATATGACAGCAGCTAATAAAAGAAGCCAAATGATCATAATATGCATTTATTGTTCAGTTTTCCATGTCGTTTAGGCTGGAGTGTTCAATTTATACTCCCCAGACCCCCCTAGGTCTAGGCTCAATGCTAAGGGCCTGAGCTCAGGTGACCCCTCCCATGGTCTCTTCTATGCTATGAGCAATTTGCATATGAAAGACTCATTGTTTCTTGTAGATTCTACTAAATTCGGCTAATTAACTGCGGTCCATTGGGTTGTTTGTTAATGACATCTTCTATTGGACACCTGCCTTGTCACTACAAACCGAATCACCAACAGGGGATTTGATGTTGACCATCATAAGTTATTTTTAAAGATTTCTTCATTGGATTAGTTAGAAACAATGGCTAGTAACAGCACTGCTTGACCACTGGCCATTAAACGCCTTCAATTCCTGAGTTCATTCAAATGTCCAAAGCAGATCTGTTTCCGAGAGTTCACTCAGATTAAGTTTCCTTCTTCATTTAGACAATGCAGAGTAAAGTGGCCCATTTATTTCGCTACTAAATTGTAAATATCTGTTACGCAACTTGACAACAAACCTTTCCAGTCTCATCAAGTTTGCAGCGCAAATTAAAACAATTTCCTTTTGAGATTGTGGATGGGTGTTTGCCGTTAGAGAATAAGTATGAAGTTGTTTTCAAAGGAAAAACAAGTCGGTGCTTGCATTTTCATGACTATGTAAAGCACTGACTAATGGGTGGTAAATTTTGGAAGATCTTCAAAATCCAGCTTCTGAACGTAGGTATTTGCCTGCTTTTTTTGCAAGAAGTACATTAATGCGTTGGTTTTACTCTGTAAAAGTTTTCAGTCGCCCATTGGTGTGGTTGGGCAGCTCCTATTTTTTCAAGGAGCTCTAGATGTGACTATTATAATGTGGTCATCTTTGGGCACTCAAGAATCAATCGCTAGGTGTTTTTGCTGGAATTTTTTACCTGGAGTACCTGAATACCTGGTTTTTGGCGTGTACAAATTTCAAGTAGGTAGTTGGGCTAGGTAGGAAGTTTTAATTTTTTGAAGACAACGTGACGTGTGACTGAAATATGGCAATTTTTGGGCGCTACTCAAAAATCAGTGTCTGCCTATTTTTCAGCGATTTTTCTACTTGAAGTACCTGAATACCTTGTCTTTGTCGTGTAAATGTTTCAAGTACCTGGTTGGTCTAGTTAGGAAGTTTTGATTTTTTTAAGAGAGCGTGACATGTGGCTTAAGTGCTAATTTTTTAGCGCTTCTCAAAAATCAGTCCCATCGTATGTTTGCGCAATTTTCTACTTGAAGTACCTGAATGCATTTTCTTTGTCGTGTAAAAGTTTCACGTAACCAGTTGGTCTAGTTAAGAAGTTTTAATTTTTTTAAGAGAGCGTGACATATGACTGAAATATGGTAATTTTTGGGCGCTATTCAAAAATCAGTGTCTGCGTATTTTTCAGCGATTTTTCTACTTGAAGTACCTGAATGCCTTGTCTTTGCTGTATAAAAGTTTCAAGTACCTGGTT